TTTTAACTTCCTTTTGGGGATGTGTGTTTCTTGGTTTTATTTTTGTGTTTGTTTGAAAGAGAGAGAAAGAACATAAAATTGGGTGCATAGGGAGACGGAGAAGATCTGGGAGGAACTGACGGGAGAAACAGGATCAAAGTATATTGTATGAAAAATGTTTTTACATAATAAAAACTAAGTCGACGCAGGAGAGAAGTAATGGTGTTCCTATCTAGCAATTAAAGAGGGTGACAGGACTAGACCTATTTTGTTTTGTGGTTTCTTTGCTAACTTAGACATATTATGAAGATGGCTTCAGGACCAAGTCAATGGGGTTTGCTAATAGACCACCTGTAGTGTTTAAGGTGGATAAAGAATTGCAGGCTTGGGGTCCAAACAACCAGAATAATGGGGCTGCCACACAGAGGTGGGGAGAGAGAGAGAACAGACATCCAGTGGATGTCCTGTTTTTAATCTCCTCCTCATTCCTGTACTCAGTGAGACTCCGCGTTTGGTTCTTAAGGGAACATGGGATGCTTTGCCTGCTCCTCACCAGAGGCCCCGTGCAGCTTCTGCTATCAGGCAGCCACGTTGTTGATGACTGAGTTTCAGCCCCCACACTTCTGTCAGCTTCTCTCATCTCTGCTGCTCTCCCCCGTGTGTTTAAGTTTCCTATAGTTAAGAAGATTCAGGGCTGGAGGGACGGCTCAGGAGTTAAGAGTACTGCTCAGGCAGAGGATTGGTGCTCAGCTTCCAGCTCCCCTACTGGATGACCCACAACTGCCCATAATGCCAACTCCAGGGGACCCTATACCTCTGTCCTCCACAGGCTCCCGAAAGCACATGCGCAGACCCATGCTGAGACACACATATGCATGCAATCAAAACTAAAAATAAAATACCTTTTTAAAAAGAATCTGCTTAAAGCCATTCTTTTTTTTTTAAGAGGGTTTGTTTGGTTTTTTTTTAATGTTTATTTATTTATTATGTATACAATATTCTGTCTGCATGTCTGTCTGCAGGCCAGAAGAGGGCGCCAGACCTCATTACAGGTAGTTGTGAGCCACCATGTGGTTGCTGGGAATTGAACTCAGGACCTTTGGAAGAGCAGGCAATGCTCTTAACCACTGAGCCATCTCTCCAGCCCAAAAAGCCATTCTTTTGGTATTTGCAAAGCACAAACAATAATGTGTGTCCTACATAGAGATCAACTGGCAGCCTCTCTCGTTTGTTTCTCAGTTACACACTATGATTATTAATATTTGTGATCAACTTGATTGCATCTGGAATTGCCTAGGAGAACCATCTCTGGGTCTGCCTTTGAGGACATTAACTGAAAAGGGAAGACCCATCCTGATCGTGGGAGTCGGGTCGGGGCTTCGGTGGAATTTAAACAGAAAGGAGGATAAAGTCAGTTGAGTGGCAACAATCATTTCTTCCTGATTCCAGACTGAGTTCAACATGACCAGCTGCCCCAAGCTCCTGCCACTGTGCCCTCCCCAGTAGGATGGGCCAAAGTAGCCCCTTTCCTTGTCAGGGACTTGGTCATAGCATAAACAAACAAAAACGCAACACATACAAACATCCTTCCGTTCATTCATCCATTTCTACATTCGCTTTTTGACAGAGTTGATCGCTTTCATTGCTCAGTCGGTCCTCTTGAAGCCCACCTTGGGTATTTCAGGGTTTCTGCTTCCTGGGTGAAATGATTGGGATAGGGTTTCCTTCCTGCTTCCTTTGTCTTCACTGGTTCTCCCTCCTCTGCACGAAGCACCGCATCTTATTTATTACCTGCCTGAGCACTCTCTTTGGATATCAACTTGGAAAAGCCGAAGTATGTCATATAATCATTTTTAAACTGCAAAGTTTCAGACCGGGGAGATAACTCAGCCCGAATTAAAGCATTTTCCACACACACATGAGACCTGAGTCCAGCTTCCAGAGTCTAAGAGTCAGGCACAGAAGCAGAGGGGATTCCTTGCTGCCACCAATCTAGCTGAATCGGGGACTTCTGTGATTAAACTAGAGGCTCTACCTTAAAAAAAAGGTGGAGAGAGATTGAGGAAAACATCTGACATCAATCTTCTGGCGTCCACAAGTGCGAAAGCACACACACAAACACACACACACACACACACACACACACACACACTTCAAGGACCACTACTTAGACCTTATGAGTACATATAAATGTCTGTGGGTCTCTGGGCATTTGGATTTGAGCCAGTACTGTTGTGGAAGTCATTGAGGAGAGTAGAGTCACACACACAAATCCATATGTGCATTTGTCATTACTCTGCGCCATTTATCTTAAGTCTCAGTTGAATGAGTACCTGACTCACCTAAGAATCTCTTGGGACCTCTTCATGAAATTTCAGGCCTGGGGTTTGGCAGCAGGGGTATGGGGGGGGGGTGGGCAAATCTAAAAAACGTGTTCTTGGAATGTCTTGCAGCAAAGCAGCTAAAAGGAGGAAATCCCTCAACTTCCTGCGTGGCCCCTTATTTTAGTGCAGATTTTCTGAACTCTGTGACACAGGCCTAAGTCCGGAGTAGATCCACCTCCCATTTCATGCCTGACTCAAGTTAGTTTCAATTCCTTAAAGGCAAGAAAGACTAAGATCAAAGATTCACATACAGCATCTCATCAGTCAGGAAGGCTGATCGAACTTTATGCAGAGAGTTGACGTGACCCCCTCATTCTCTACTGCCAGGACTAAGTTTAAGACCAACAGCTCTCAGCTCAGCGTTCCCTGGGGACAAGCACACCCCCATGGCCCTGGAACACTCATTGGGCCTGTGCCTGGCTGTCCCATCTCACAGAAAAAAAGCCACATAAGCTTAGAGACCTTGTTTATCAGCATTTTCTTTTCTTTTCTTCATCAAAATAAAAGAAATGAAGAGAGGGAGGGAGGGAGGGAGAGAAGGAGGGAGAGAAGGAGGGAGAGAGGGAGGGAGGGAAGGAAGGAGGGAGGGGGAAGAGGAGAAGGATAAAAGGAAGGAAAAGACTGAAGTGATTGATGAGGTTTAGAAAGCCACCATTAACATAAAAGGCAAAAGGATCAAATCTGTGGATTAAAAGTAAGTACATTTTCCTACACTGGATACCCTAATGATGTGGAATACCTGCTTTAGAACCAAGGGGTCTTGCACTGAGTCTTTCTAGAACTGCAATCCAACACAGAAGAGAAACCCAAGTGGCAAATATCCCCAGAGTTATACACCAGAGGGAGGAAGAACTGGAAATAAAACCCAGGGACTTTTTACTGCCCATGTTGTCAATAATAACTCTGGGGGCCTATAGCAACATGGAAGGATGGAGTCTATTTCTGGTTTTTATGGGAAGGTTTTTCTTTTGCGGGCATTTCAAGCTCAAATACTAAAGGAGAGAGGGGGAGGGATGTACATAGTATGAAAATGACATCCAGACAGCCAGCAAGCACAAACAACACTTTAAATGGAAGTGCAGCTCTGTTGTGAGAAGAGCCACAGACAGGAAGTCAGGAAGCAGGCTTCCAGTTTTGACTCGGCCACTAATATGCTGCTAGCTTTTTTGACAAATACTTTGATTGACTTCTCTGGGCCTCAGGGTCCTGTTCTGCAAAATGAAAGCACTGTCATAAACAATGCCTCCTCCAGTTGCAAAACTCGATGAGAGCTTAAAGTTTTGAAAGCAAATTAAATTAAATCAAAGAGATGGTTATATCATGTGATACTGAAATTGCCAAAATAATATATCTAATACAATTTTAGAAAGCCAAAATGGTCACAGGAAAGTATATTTGATTAAAAGTAGATAGAACAATAGAGGGATTTTTGTTTCTGGCCTTTAAAAAATCCTGGGGAACCTAGTAAGAATAAAGATAAGGGAATTATAAAAGACAAGCAGACTTAATCATTATATGAATTTAATCAGGGGAAGATTAAAAAAAAATCAAGAGGCTCAATATTGCAGGCAGCATCCATAATCATAAGCTTTTTAACCATACACACAAGACATCAAACACATCGCATAGGAGAAAAAAGGGTTCAGAGTACAAAAGACATAAAGGAAGGAAGATTTTGAAAAAAACAGTTTCATTACTCACAAAGGGAGAGGGTGGTGAAGAACCAAATGAAGATTCTTGTTCTGGGAAGCATCGCTGACATTCAGGCGGCAGAATTAGGGGAGTGTGGTGGTAGAAAGGATTATTGACAGGCACAAGGCATTCCAGCTGAGCAAAGCACCAAGCTCAGATGTTATGGTCTCAAGAGTGTTCAGCGCATAAGCAGCAATACAGGTGAAACTTGTAGGAGAAATTAAGAGACAAGAAGGTAATAGGAAACAGAGACGGACACAATGTAAAGAAACATTCCAAATTAGAAGAAGCACATTTACCTAGACGAGGGAAAAACAAAACAACAACAAAACAAGCAATGCCAAAGGAATCAACAGAAAGTATAACAATGGAGACAACTGTAGAAAAATGGCTAGAAAGAAAGGAATGTCGGTGGAACCTTCTAGAAATATCATTTGTTCTCAGTTTTAGACATGAGCGAGTCTCATTATCCCGAGTTTCCTGTGCTTCCAGTTGCTACTGCTGTAATTACTGAAGGGTACATTTAGTACACAGTGATTTGGGGCAAGGAGAGGGGAAAGCAAAGATTACTTACAAATTACTAGATGGGAAATTATTTTCCAAGAACGAGCCAGGACCTAGAAAGGGCTGACGTCAGCTGGGCAGTGGTGGTACATGCCTTTAACCCCAGCACTTGGAAGGCAGAGGCAGGTGAATCTCTGTGAGTTTGAGGCCAGCCTGGACTATAGGACGAGTTCCAGGACAGAGTCCAAAGCTACAGAGAAACCCTGTCTAGAAAATAAAAAAAAAAAAAAAAAGCTGATGTCAGAGTCAATCCAAGACCCAGGAGGGAGGAGGAAGATGGCTTCATCAGTAACTCTAGGGTGAAGACACTGGGTAATTTCAGGGAGGAACCTAAAGAACTGAGTCACACTCCAGACTGGATGTTGTCACAAACCAGGACCTTCTGGGACCGTATGTCATCTACAGGGAGAGGAGACTAGAGAGAGGCTAGAGTTCTTTTGGGTGAAGAGCAATCCCATGCCTTTTGCTTGTAAAGAAGGTGTTTGGTATTTGGTGAGTGACAAAGTACCTTTGTTTCTTTCTATGCTTAGACCGTGCTATGAAATGACCTTGATTGTTCATGGTTTATGATTGTCCTAGAGTGTGTTGTTGCCTGAGACTGGGATTCCGTGAGATGGTTTAGATCTAATAGAAGAATGGCGGGAACGGCGTGCCTCCCTGTGAGAGTCTGGCCTCCTTCTGACTTCCAGGGACTGGTTCTCCCCAACACCCGTTTCTTTTCTTATTTCTCCCATTTTGGCCAGGCCACTGGATATTCATCATGATATACATGTTTATTCTACTCTCAAGATGCTATTGATCTGGGTTTTTGGTTTTTTTTAAGTTACATTCATGTGATTTTTGTTGATGTTGTTTTAACATAAGATCTTTCTATGTAGCCCCAGGTTGGCCTGGATGTCATGGTTCTCTGCCTCTGTATCCCAAAAGGGAAAGGAAAAAAAAAAAGTTAAGATGCTATTGATTGATATGGGGAAACTATCCTCTTCAGCCCATGGTTGATCCAGCATTTATCTTCCTGTTGTGATAACAGTTGTTGAAACTCTGATGTAACAATAGCCACAAAGAAGCATTTAAGATTGGTTAGGACACATCAGTCAACGGCAACACAGACGACGATCAGGAGCAAAATGACAATTAATCTTTATACTAGAGTTTGAAGCCATCGGTCTAGATTGGGAAACCAAGCAATAAAAACATGGCCCATAATCTCCCCGAGAGAGCCAGATGGTTTTCTCTTTCAGTGTTGTTACAGGCTGTGCTCTGTGTCCTGAAGTACTTATGTGGGTGATGGGAGAGCTGGCTGCTGCCCAGCAAGCCTCCCGCTTGGTTGCTTAAGAAAATATAATCGAGGGCAATACAAGTGCCCGTGACAACCAATGAATTTAGACTGATTTCAACTCAGTTCTCTCATTGCTCCATTCCCATGGTGGGATGCATGGCTGACAGTCTGTCTGAAGAAGGAATGGGCTCTATTCCTCCTCAAGTTCTCCCAGCTGATTCAAATTGATCTTCTTTGGGGGCGAGGGGAGCAGCTAGGTTTTCTGCCTGAGGAAGCGTGGAAGAATAGTAGCTTAGATATTGAAGACCCCAGCAATTGCTCCAAATGCACAGGATTCATGAATATATGGTGGAGAAGAAGAACCAACGTCCTACGGACGGACAGATGCCACCTGTGGAATCACACAGGTCCCCTCGAAGCAGGTGGAGGTCTCTACAAAGGTGACACACTGTCATGGTCAGGCTGCCGCTGCCGCAGTTCTTACTCCTGATCACACAGGCTGGGCTGATCAAAATGTAAGGATTGCAGGGCCAATGTCTGTGATTTGAAGGAAACTTGAGTACCAGAAAGGATTTTTTTTAAATTTCCTTTTGAAGTGTATAAAGAAACAGTCTTGTTTGTTTGTTTGTTGTTTTTGTCATTCTTCTTAAGAGCGTCAGTTAAGGGATCACAGATTCACACACAGATCCGCTGGTACCAGAGCAGCAGCTGAAGTCTGGGGAAAAACGGTGGAAGAGAATTTTGTTCTGTGGTGTGGGAGGTCCTTCTGTCTATGTGTTGCTTTTATTGGTGAATGAATAAAGAACCCGGCTTGGCCCATAGCATGGGAAGGTGGAGCTAAAGAGACACCATGTAGCCCCCGCTGGAGACAGACGCTGGAACTTTAGCCGGTAAGCCACAGCCATGTGGCCATTCACGGATTAATAGAAATGGGTTAAATTAATATGTAAGAGTTAGCTAATAAGAAGCTAGAGCTAATGGGCCAAGCAGTGATTTAATCAATACAGTTTCTGTGTGATTATTTCAGGGCTAAGCAATCAGGAACCAACAAGCGGCTCTCTCCTTACTACAGTTCTGATTAAGGGACAGGAGCCCAGGGTATTTGAAATAAAAGGATGAAGGTAAGAGAGACCTGTACTAAGAGGTCTCATTGTTGATGGAGAGAGCGTGGAGACAACATAGAGAGAGAAGGGAAATCAGAAAGCAGTTGAGGAATCTGACAATGTATCTTGTTTCACGACCATGGATAAAACCTGCCCACTCCAAGGGTCTCTCTTTGTTCCACCACCTTGGAAAGTCCCTGTCCGTCTTTGAAGTGGGAAATCTGTGGCAGACTCCCGAGAACCCTCAGTTTCAGGTCTTAGATGGTATGGCAGTCTGGTGGCCAGGTCTGTCTTTTGAGACGTGGAATGGGAATGGAAGAACCATGACCTTGGAGTTGCGCTGCTGCCGTGTCCACTAACTATGCTGGATCATTTCTGAGGGGGCAGCAGCAATTTTTTTCCCGGTGTTTTTATTAGAAGTCTAACTCTTTGTTGTGCAGATGTGCAGAGGCCATTTAGAAAGGGTAGTCTCTGTCTAGGGATATTAAATCTGGAGTTTTGGAACAGGTCACAAGACCTTAACTCCCCTGACACCAAGGTGACACCACTCTGACCTTACCAGCACACAGGTCTCAACACCTGCAAAAATGGGAACAGAGACCTCACCCATCAAAGACTCGTCCATAGTTCCAGGAAAGCCCCTAAAGGTACCGACCTTGCCTTTTGACTCCTGTAGTTCGGTTTCTCAATGACTAACTGCTCTTGCTAACCAAAGTGTGTCAATCAGGATGTGGTGTTGTGCATAAAGGAAAAAGAATGGTGACATTTGGGGCTGCATGATTTGGGCTTAGTTCCCCATGCGGTCACCAGCCGGCACTGTTGATTTTTCATCTGGCTTTCAGAGGGTCTGTGTGCTCTCTGGTGAGATAACCCTGCAACATTTTCATTTGTTCCTCAGAGTAATTTGTTATATCTGCTTTCAAGAGGGGAGTTAGTAGTTTTATAGGGCTGCTATAACAAAATGCCGCAGACTGGGTGACTGACCTAAGGCAACAGAAGGTCATTTTCTTCCGCTGAAGCCTCAAATCACAGTACTGCAGAGCCATGAGGTGTGTGGAGGGCCAAAGGGGGATCTGCCCTGCCTCTCCCTACTTCTGGGAGTTCCTGGCAGTCACTGGTCACATCACCTTCCTTTCTATGTGTGCCTTGGTGTACATATTTACAAAGACACCTGTGCTTGCGTTTAGCGCCCACTACACCCCAGGGCGACCTGAGAGCAACTGGATTACATCTGCTTTGAATAAGGTCCCACTTGTCAGGGTTGGGCTCAAATACCTCACTTTAGGAGAAACAATTCATTCTGGAATAAGTAGGATAAAAGGTTAGGAATAAAATTTCCAAACACAGAACAATTGGTTGCTAGTAAATAAAGGGCTGCTCTGTGGGGGTTTGGGGGGCTTACAGACATTGGAGGTGGTGCTAATGCTTCAGGGTTTGGGAGGCGGGGTTTATGACAGCTTTGCTGCCTGCTTTTTTAGGATTCTGTTAGTTCTCCTGTTTTCTCCCTGGGGACTGTAGATGAAGCATTTTGGAGTAAAAGACAAATTTTTGTTCTTTATTAAGATTACTAGTAAAATGACTGTCCCTTTCAGTTTGGGGATTTCCAAAGCTGAAAAATCAAAAGTGAGACTCCGGGGAGATAGATCAGTGGGTAAGAGCCCTTGCTGCCCAAGCCTGAGGACCTGGGCCTGAATCTCTAGAAGGCAAACAAAAAGCTGGGCATGGTTGTACCTGTAACCCCAGTGCTGAGGGAGAAGGAGAAGACAGGGTAATCTCTGGGACTTGTTGGCTGATCTCCAGCCTAGCTTCGGGTTCAGCAAGAGGCCATGTCTTAAGGGACTAAAGGCAGAGAGGCCCTCCTCTGGCCTCCCTACATACGGAGACACAAGTACCCACCTGTGTGAGCACACACACCACACGTAAAAGAATTTATCTGTTCTCATTTTCTCTTCTTTTTTTTTTTTGCCACAGTGAGACTGGTAGTTCTCTGGAAAAGAGAGGCTCCACTCTGCTCTGAGAAAAATGGACAGTAACCAGTGTGCGCACTCATAACCCGGTGAAGGAGCTCTCCTGTGAAGTCCATCTGGAGTGTTCAGAGGGCCCTTGAAGTTTGATGCCCCTCCATATCTAGTCTAAATGGTTGTGCCAAGATTGTGTCACTGACAGGTATGACATGTTTTGGAAGCATCCCCAGCAATACCTCTAAAATTAGCCTGCTTATGTTAATCTAATACTATTGCCAATTAATTTCTGCTATTATGTGTAATGTCAAGAGAAGCATTTTTGCTAAATTCCATATTCAGTTTTTTGATGGTCCATGTCAATTATCTCCAAAAGAGCCAAATATTTGTCTGCAATGAGCACCTTAATTTTTTCCCATTTGTTTTTTATTTTATTTCAAATCAGGAGTTTGTCTCTGTGGCTTTTTTTTTTTTTTTTTTTTTTTAAAATTAGGTGTTTGAAATTTTTTGTTTTTTTTTTTTTTTTTTTTTTGACATAGTGGCTAGCTGAAGTATGTAGGTACCCAGGTTTCTCCCCTTTTTGTTCAAGGAGATTTGCAGGGCCGTTTGACCTCTGGCTCCCTGGCTCTTCTGCTCTAGCACCAGCCTGAGGGTTTAGCTTAGAAAGAACTTGGCCCTCTTTTGTTATGGTAATTCCACCTGTAAACAAGGTTCCAGCCGCCGGCCCTATACGCCTGCCACGCCTGCCTCCCGCAGCTGCTTCTGGCCTTCTGTCATCCTCTTCCACTGCTCCTGATGGGAGGGGGCTTTGCCCTTTTGCCCCCTTGCCCCCTAGTATATATACCCGACTTGAGTTTAATAAAATTGCCATTTACTCTTTGGTGAATGAGCAAGGTCTTTTTATATCTGTGTGTTTCAACCCTTAGGATATTCATCCATTCTCGTGGGCTTGGTTCGGGAAAGCACGCGCCTGTTCCGAGGTTTGGGTAGTCACAGAAAAGTGTAGGCAACAGAAGTATTTCCTAAGATTCAGGGTTTTTGCATTTTGAATGCCCTTCCACTTAAAATATTTAAACAATATGTGTGTGTGTGTGTGTATATGTATGAGGGGGGAGCACATGTGCAGGTGTCATAATGGTTGTGCAGAGGTCAGAGCAAAACTTGTGGAAATTGGTTCTCTCCTTCTACCATGTGGGTCCTGGGGATTGAACTCAAGCTGATGGGTTGGTGGCAAGTGCCTTTACCTGCTGAGCCATCTCCCTGGCCTAATCTTCTACTTTTGTGGCAGTTCTCCCACTTAAATAAAAGGATTTATTTATTATTATTTTTTTAGTGATGTGTGTATGTGTCTGTATTGGGGTCTGCTCACATGCTACTGCAGGTGCCTAAAGAGTCCAAAAGAAGATGCTGGAAGCTGGGCAGTGGTGGTACATGCCTTTCATCCCAGCACTCCGGAGGCAAAGGCAGGTAGATCTCTATGAGTTCAAGACCAGCCTAGTCTACAAGAACTAGTTCCAGGACAGGCTCCAAAGCTACAGAGAACCCTGTCTTGAAAAACAAAAAAAGCAAAAGAGAGAGAGAGAGAGAGAGAGAGGAAGGAGGAGGAGAAGGAGGAGGAGGAGGAGGAGGAGGAGGAGGAGGAGGAGGAGGAGGAGGTACAGTGTTGGATCCCTGCAGCTGGGCCGTAAGCAATGGAGAGGCACTTGACATGGGTACTCTAACAAGAGCATTATGTGCTCTTACCTGCTGAGCCATCTCTTCTGGCCCATTTACATCTTTGTTCTTTTCCTCTTTCCTAGTTGGTATATCTAGGAATGCACAATTATCTTTTTGAGTTGATTTGATTTCTAGAAGTACTTTGTATTTCAAAGATAAATTCAGGCTTATATCTGCATAACCTGCCTGTTAACTTCCAATTTCTATTTTTCAAAAGAAACTACTCACAGATAGAATTAGGTCAGGTTTGTCTAGCGACACGGTAACAAATCCGTATAAGCTGTAGGGCAGAGGTGACTCTAACACAGACCTGAACAATTGTGCAGCCCCTTTGGGTGAAGGGTGAAGGAAGGGAAACTGTGTATCGCTGGCACAGTGATATTTGATAGAAAAATCAAACCACTGCATGGACTGTCAGGCAGCTAGCTGAGAGATGCGTCATTTCCTCCATCCGGAAGAGAGTGTGTCCATGAGGTCCCATTCAACCAAGTGGAGAACCTGGCTCAGCCTCAGCCTCAGGTTCAGGCCTCCAGAACATCACCAATGTTGTTGGCACTGCTGCCTAATTCTGAAGTGAGGTGACCGTGTCTTAGCGGCTGAACCAGAGGAAAGACTAAAGATTGCAATGGTCCTTTGAAAGCTGATTTCACAAGAGTTGAACAGAGGTATCCGAAGCTGGGAGGACAGGGTCAGGAGAGGGTGGGGACACAATGACCAATGAATACAGAGTCATAGTTCAGAGAAGTGACTGTTGCCATCTAGAGTGGATGACAATACTGTAATCCAAATTTCAAAATTCCTAGAAGAGTGGATTCCAAATGTTCCTGCCACTGAGACTTGAGAAGTGGGGGCTGGAGAGAGACTGCGCAGTTAAGAGCAAGCACTGTTCTTGCAAAAGACCTGTGTTTGGTTCCTAGCACCCTCATTGGACAGCTCATGACCGCCTGTAACTTCAGTTCCAGGAGGTCTGATACTTTCTTCCTCAGGCTACCTGCAGTCGGGGGCATATGCCCGCTGCCACACACCTACATGTAATTAAAAAACTTTAAAAAAAATGTTTTACAAGAAATGATAAAATGTCTGAGGTGCTGCCTTGCTAAATACTCAGTCTTGATCATTTCACAGTGTCTGCACACATGCCACCACCACTCTGTGCATCATTACTATCTGTGATTGTGCCAATTAAAGCAAACTGGAAGAAACACAAACGGGCCTCAGCTGAGTCTCATGTAATTGATCAATACTCGCCAAATTCAGATCGTTGATGAACAACCAGGGGAAAGGGATTATGTTAATTAGGCACCCCTGTTTGGGTGCCCAGGCAGAACTGTATCTAGGTCCCAGGGGGCTTCATGCTTATTTTCCTAGGGTAGAGTTCCAGGAACTGAGGACACAATTCATGGAAAGGGGATTTGATATGGAAACTGGTCAGTACCAATTTCCTTGGACATAGAGCCCCACCCCAAGAATGCTCAAAGTCATGTTGTCAATCTGGGAAAATTCTGAATTACATCATGAGGTTTGCCTCCTTGTGGCATGCCATGCCTTGCCATAGACAAGTAGACTTCTATTGTTATTGCAGATTTTAATTTCTCCTTGAAGGCTTTATGTCTCTCCTGAACTTAGCTCTTTAATAGAATGCGAAACAGTCTTAAACCTTTACTCGCTTTTTTTTTTTAATAGCAAAACATCATCTACCCATATTAGAATAGGCTCATGAGGAAATCTCAATTCCTTGAGTTCCCAATTAAGAGCCTGAGAATAGATAACACAAGGGGAGTCTTAATACATGCCCGAGTGGGACAGGCCAGGAGCCTTGTGACTTTGTTATGAGAAGGGAAATAAACCTTGACTACCTGGATCTAATAGGGTGCTAACAGGCATGCAGAAACTCATCCCAGTGAAGAGAATAGCTTGGGTAGTATTGAAGACAAATGGAACTTGGATTAAGGACCACTGGAAAAAAAGGAACCACAACCTTATGTCTGGACTGTGGTTTTGCATGAATTGATATCTATGCCCTTGAGGGCTTTTTTATTTTTTTCTTTTTTGCCTGGACAACACCAGAGGATTACAAGGGCTGGTGCAAGGAACAATGAGTCCCTGGTTTATAAGTTCCACAGGGGGCTGCAGCCCTTTCTGAATTCTGCTTTGTAGGGTGTTAAACAGGAACAGGTAAGGATTTAGTAAAATCAGCTCACACCTTGAGGGGTTTGGTCCTTAGAGTTCTTTATCTATAAAACTCTTGTCCAGAGGTCATCAAAGGCCTGACATACCTCCTTAGACTAATTCTGGGTAAACTTTCCTTGACTAGCAAAGCACCATCTAAATCACACCACTGAGAGAGTGAGGATGTGGCTGGGGTGGGGTGAGGGGAGCCCTTGGCTAGCGTGCCCGAAGTCTTGGATTCCATGTTCGGCATGATAAATAAACTGTGTTACTGGAGAGGCTGGGAGGATGTAGCTTGGGGAGAAGCCTTGCCTTGCATGTGTAAATATCTGGCTTTGGTCTTAGCCCTACCAAATACATAAACAATTCGTAAATAAACGAGCAAGACAGGGAATATGCTGTGCTATTGAAGGACCCTGCATGGGCAAGTTCTCAGCTGTTTTCAGAAACAGGTCATCTGCAAAGCATTTGTTTAACCGTGCTGTTTACATGAAGGATCCCACCCAATGACACTGAGTAGTGTGGTAGAGAGAAGTTTGTGTTGACTGGCAGAGGGCCAGGAGTTACGGCCATGGATGAGGAGAGGAGATTCTGAGCACTCTTTCAAATCCCTGAACCGTTTAATGGCTGAGGAAGGTGGGTGAAGACCATGGCAGAACTGAGAGCTGAGCAGGGCTTGCACCTACCAGAACGGGTTGCCACTGTCGTTGCTTTGTCATTGAAGCCATTTATCCTTGTTGACCTAATGCAGTCACTGGAAATTAACCGCAGGGTCTCTTGATTCCACTTTGGACTAACAAGAAGGAAGTGGTAGCTTGGTTTCCTTTTTTCTTTACTTTTCTTTCCCTTTCTTTCTTCCCTTCTCTTCCTCCTTTCCCCCCACTTCCTCTTTCCCATTCCTTTCTTTTAATAGCGTCTCACTGTATATAACCTAGGCTAGCCTCAAATTCACGATCCTCCTGCCTCAGCTTCCTCAACATTGCCAGCATTAGAGTTCTATCCCACCATGCCCAGCACTTTTTCTTTTTGGTGTGGCTGAGCTGGTTATTTGGCCAGCACGCTCCCTGAATTTTAAGGGAGGGTAACTAGTAAATGCCTCCATCAAAGGATAAGTTTTACATTGTCCCCTAGCCTTTGACAACATTTCTAAAACTTAAGCTTTTTAAGAAACGGCAAATGCAGTCATATATGTGTAAATGTTTGACATTGGTGGCTCTTCATTCAGCAAAACCGTCTGGAGACTTAGCAGCTGTAGCATGTATCACTGATTGGTTCTTTCTTATGAGTCCATATTTTTAAAACTTATTTTTTTTATTTTTGGGGGTTATAATATAACTACATCATTTCCCTCTTCCACTTTCTCCTTCCAAACCCTAGGATGTATCATTGATGTATCGCTGCTCCCTCCCACCCTCGTTAACAGTTTCCTCTGAGGTTAAAACATTAACAACTCAAAATAGCTTCAGGAAGTCCCTGAAACCAGCCAGATTGCCTCCTAACAAGAGTAAGCAGTAAAAGCTGAGAGTCCCTCTGAGCTACAGGAAGAGAGCAGCAAAGACTCTGAGATCAGACCAGCTGCCGTGGGAGAAGCAGTAATGAGCTCTCCAGAAGAGGTTTGGACCAACTGAGTCACGTGGAAGGGGCACTCTCCTACCTGCTGAGCTGTCTGCAGGCTGTGCAGCGTGCTCCAGGGTCCCAGCTCTGTGAACTGTCACCCATACTGAGGTGGATTTTAGTCATGTGGCTTTCTTTGAGTCATTTCTGTTCCTGTAAGTAATCCTTCACCCATATTCCTGTACGTAACCCCAATAAAACTCATTGGTTCACCAAGTTGGTCTTCACCATGGTCGTATGTTGTATTTGGTCTGTCATGGGTTCCCTATACATGCATAGAACCTGCTTAGTCTGTATAATGTTACTCGCATGTATGTTTTCAGGGCCAACCATTTGGTTTTGAGCAACCATTTGCTGTACTCACCCCTGGGGAAAACCCTTTCTCCTGCCCTCACTGTTCTCTGGTTCCTGCAGTTCTGCAGTATCAGGTCAGGAGACCTGATTTCCTTGTTCAGTCATTCATTTATTGACGGGGAGCTAGGCTGTTTCCAGTTATTTATTGATGGGGAGCTAGGCTGTTCCCAGTTATTCATTTGTTGACGGGGAGCTAGGCTGTTCCCAGTTATTTGCTAGCATGAAAAAATGGATATGAACAATCATACATAGACTCTGAAGGGACACTAGCCACTGGAACACATGACTCTGAAGGACACTGACCCACTAGAGCACGTGGCTCTGAAGGACACTGGCCCACTAGAGCATGTGGCTCTGAAGGACACTGGCCCACTAGAGCACGTGACTCTGGCAGGCCTTGCCCTTCTCTCCCATTCTCTCTGCCTGACTAGAAACCATTAGATTACATCCCTAAAGCTAGCCACCAAGATCTGTTCCCTTATTTGGCCACTTCCTGCTCCTGAGGCTGACTACCAAAGTCCAGCAGTCAAGAGTACCCATTGGCTCACCTAATTAACATGCCAAATTAAAATTAAACACCTCATCCTAACACGGGGTTTCCCCTTTTGTAAACTGCCATTTGTCTGTGTGCCACGTCTGTCTCCCCTCGACCCAGAGGCGGTCCTGTGTCCCTTCTGGACAAACACCCCTGCCCCTCCCCCCCATCTCTTTTACCACCACATCCTAGACTACTCTGACATAGACCATCTGTTTTCCTCCCATTAAAAATCACACCTGCAAGGTCATTTGCTACTGTTTTTCTGCCTGAGTCAGAAAGCAGCCACTTGTAACTTTTCTGTGATAACAGGTGTTTGGGTGTGGTTTGTGCCCCCCCTCGCTGTTCTGGGGGTGGGCCTCCTTCAGGTTCTCATGTAAACATGTTTTCACTTAACTAGAACAATGCCCAAGGGTGCCATTGTAGAATCATGTGTCAGTTGCATGTCTAGTTTTTAAGTGAACTTGTGTGTGTGTGTGTGTGTGTGTGTGTGTGTATGCTCACACATGTGCCCTTGGGAGCATGCATTTCATGGTGTGCATGTGGAGGTTAGAGGACAACCTTGTGGAATTGGTTCTTTCCTTTCATTTTTACATGGATCCCAGGGATGGAGCCGTCTCTCCACTCCACAAGTCTAGTTTTGTAAGAAAATACCAAGCTATTTGCTAGATTTGTTGTGCCATTTTCTGCTGCCATCAGCAATATGCGTGTAATGTTTCTTCACATTTGGGTTCACATTTGGGTCCACATTTGGTGCTTTATCTTAGTTTTCTGCTATGTGTGAAATTGTACCTCGCTGTGATTTTGATTTTTCAGGGAGACTGTGGAGATTTCTAGAACCCAGTAAGCAGAAGTTGGCAGCTTCTGCCGCATGGTTCTGGCTGTAGAGTTAAGGATAGAAGAAATGGGTCATGAAATTTGCCTCCGCACCTAAGGAAAGCTGCTGAGGCCAGGCATGTGTCAGGAGGTCTAGTAGAGAGGCCATTGTGTAAAGCCTGATTGCTGTGGAGAACCCAAGATGTTAGAGATGCCAGAACTGTGGGACACCTGCTGAGGAGAGCTGCTAACAGGGAGCAGACCAGCCCAAGAGAAAGAAGTGTGCTGCAGTCAACAAAGCTGAATGGGGCTGGAGATGTGAAGGGCATTTTGACAACAGACGCGGAGCTTCAGAGTTTGGAGTTTGCCAAGCCTGTTTTTGGTCTTGCCTTTGTCCAGTATTTCCTCCCTATGTTGACTTCCCTGAATTTTGGAATAGTAATATATATTCTGTGCCATTATGCTTTGGAAGTATGTGACCTGCCTGCTCCTGTACTACCTGTGTGCACAATGTAAATGCTACAAAGCTGAGTTAGATTTGGAGGCGGAGGACTTTCTCATCTGTTCATTTGCATTCCTGGCCTAACAACTAAATGGCCAGTAAATGAATCCAAGGAAAGGGAGGAGGAAAGCAGCCAGAGGCTTCGCTAATGTTGCAAGAGTAGGAAATGTTGCTCTCCGGGTTCCACTTTTATTTCTAGAAATCCATTAATTAAGCCCTACAAATAAGCGCCGGTCTCTCATAGAAATAATGCGTGTCAGTCATGTTAGCAATGTTAGTGTTTAGCTCAGTGACTGAGCCTAGCTCTGGATTCCAGGCTGTGTTGCACATTCTCTGAGATTACGTCTTACTCTACTTCAGAGGTTCTCAACCTGTGGGTCGCGCCCCTTTAGGGACCAAAGGACCCTTTCACAGGGGTGATATTAGACCATCGGAACACACCAATACTTACATTGCAATTCATAACAGCAGCAAAATTACAGTTATAACGTAGCAATGAAAATAACTTTATGGTTGGAGGTCACCACAACATAAGGAATTGTATTAAAGGGCCACAGCGTTAGGAAGGTTGAGAACCATTGCTCTGGACTTTCCCAAATGCCCCTTTACCTAACATGTTCCTAGCAGTGGCAGCCTGTGAACATGCAGGAAGAAAGTCCTTAGGGATTGGCCACCGCCATCAGAACGCCCCCTCCCCACACACTGTCCTCACTAGACTTGTGCTCTGCCCTCAGACTGGCCCATTTCTTCACTGCCCTCTGAGCTGCCTCCACAGTACACTGTCTCCACCAGCTAAGTGGATGCTATGACAGAATTCTCTTTCTTTGCGTGCACACCATCTCTGTGGTGGAAGGGAGCTGTCCACGATGCTCCTGAGAGAATTGAGCAAAAAAGAGACCCTTAATCCCCCCCCCCACTTCCCTGAGCTGGAATACCTTCCTATTAGATGTGAAGTAGTACAAAAATACAGGGATGGGGGACTGGAGAGATGGCTCAGTGGTTAAGAGTACTGGGTGTTCTTCCAGAGGTCCTGAGTTCAATTCCCAGCAACCACATGGTGGCTCACTGCCATCTGTAATGAGATCTGGTGCCCTCGTCTGGCATGCAGGCACACATGCATGCATGATAAATAAATCTTTAAAAATACAGGATATAATGTTTGCCTAACATGCATAAGGCCCTAGATGTGATCCTCAGACTCACAAAATTACATAGACAAAGAGTGTACACAAAATCAACAATGCATTAAATATAATTACCCCCTCTAGTCTACATCCATTGACTCAGTCAACCATGGATCAAAAATAATTTTTCAAAAAATTAGAGCTGGGGAGATGGCTCAGTGGTAAGAGAACTTGGTGAACAGACATGAGGGCCTGAATTCAGGTTTGCTGCCAAGTGTGACAATCTAAGCTGGATCCTTGGAATGCAGATGGTGGAATGAGAGCATCAGCTCCTACAGGTTATCCCTGACCTCCAAACATTTCCTGTGACATGTACATGCTGCCCCCTAAAAAATAAATGTGTTTTTTTAATCTCAGCAAATGATAGGAATAGACACGTCATGAAGAACAATATCAACCTAGTAAAAACATGGAGTTCGGCATCATCTGAAGGGCTGGGTGCTTAGCTTGGGGATAAGGGAATGCTTAATATAGTTCCTTTTTAGAAATTGGAAATTTAGCTACATGGATCTTGCCGTGAGATAACCACTCCCTTTATTCCATTTCTTAATCTGATTATGTCCTTGAATACAGAATTTAGTTATATTTTACTTTCTGGTGTTCTTTTTCTCCTCCAAGTTTTCATTTTGGAATTTTTCCTGCTTAGCTTGCTCCTTTTTATTATAAATCTTTATGAGAGTACCACTAAACACCACACAATAGACTCTATACTGGGCTATTTTGAGATTTCTTCTGCCAATGGAATTAATCCAAGATTCTCCACTTTAGCCTCAGGCAGACTCTTTGGACAACGGCAAAAGGCAACCACTTTCTTCACCAAAATATCATAAGAACAATCTCTAGGTAATATAGTAAAATTCTTCTCCTTTGTATAGAGGTAGCCCCTTCACAGTTCATCAGATCACACTCAGCACCCCCGTCTTCCATGTTCCTACTAGTATGGTCCATTAATTAGTGCTTAAAGCATTCCACTCCTTTCCTAACCCAAAGTAACAAAGTCCAAATTCCTTCGAACAAACACATGGTCATGCCTATGACAGCAATACCCCAGTCCTTGGTACCAACTTCTGTCTCAGGGCTTGTTATTTCTATTAAAAAACATTTAATTGAAGGGGTCTTCTTACAGTTTCAGAGGTTCAGTCTATTATCATCACGGCACAGAGCATGACCACATGTAGGCAGAAATGGTGCTGGAGGAATAGCTGTGAGTCCTAGGTCTTGCAGGCAACAGGAAGTCAACTAACTCACATTGAGGGAAGCTTGAGCAAAAGAGACCTCAAAGCCTGCCTGCCCCACAAGGACACACTTCCAACAAGGTCATACCTCCAAATAGTGCCCCTCCCCTTGGGGACCATTTTCTTTTAAACCATCACACAAGCAAGCTGCAAAAAGGACTCTGAGACTAACCAGCTTCCTGAAAGAAGAAAAATCAGCTGAGCTGTTTGGAAGAGGTTTAGACCAACTGAGTCACTTGGAAGGGACACCCGCCAACCTTTTGAGATGCCTGCAGGCTGTGCAGTGTGCTCCAGGCTCCCAGCTTTTGTGAACTGTCACCCATGCTGGGGTAGGCCTTGGTGCTACAACTATCTAGGAGTCGTTTCTACTCCTGTAAGTAACCCCAATAAAACTCATTGGTTTGCCAAGTTGAACTTTGATGATATCTATACTTTGATCTGTCCTGGGCTCCCTATCTGGGGTGAATAGGTGTGTCTCCCAAAAAATGTTTTGTCACACAACATAGACCCCTTCTTTAACCCTGAGGCAAAATAAACCCTTCCTGGGTCTGGTGAGATGG